GGTAGAAAGCCGTAGCAGACGGTTTCTCTCTGCAATAGGATCTCGTATCAGCCGAGCGAAAAACTATTGCCACTCACCCTCCGCTATTAGATTTCCTTCCAGATTCGTTGGACCATTGTGCTCTCGGTTATTGGAAGGAGGCATCGGCACGCTCTCCTCTAACATAATTGCGTCACCAGACGTCCGTTTCCGACTTCTCTCGACTAATTGGGTCAGAGCAGTTGCCTAAATACGAAAGGTTTCCCCCTCCCGAAGGCTAAATCTCTCCAGAGATACGAGCTACTTTCTGCTTTATCCAATTAATGACAGCGATCGAGAGTGAGAGAGAACCTATCGATTCTTACGTCTTCTTTCTTCTACGGACGTATACTATATTATAGAAATATATTCCCCGAAGAGAACGAGTTATGTCAAGATATTTGGTAGCCGTTACACAATCTTACGTCACACCGAAAGAATTTTTCTTTCTATAACCGAACGAATCAAGACGTTGATTACTCCGGTCGTCAGGCAGCACGGTATCGCAACAGAAGCAAAACACATTTTTTCACTTTTTCTGCTCTGTTATATATAATAGACGGAAAGTATGGCCATCGGTCGAAAAATGACCCGCAAGATTTTTACATTTTTGGACTCGGGGAACCTCGAAACGTCGAGAAATGCAAAATAATTCGGGGGGATTTCTGTATGTATAGATGTTAGTGTGCGTGTGTGGGGGGAGGGACACGATTTTGTTCACTCTCTTAAGCTTAATAATTCCGTGCTTTTCGTCGAAAATTTTACAAATTTTGCAGAGAGGTTTGTTTATTAGGGGAATTGATAAACTTAAATTTTGGTGGTTAAAGGTGAGGGGTGGGGAGATAATGGGGGTCGTGTGTATCTCCAGTAGGGTCGGAATTAATGACGATTTACTTGTTATTAGCATTTACAATTTTTTTTATTTATAAAACTTGTTCCTACCTTCAAAATTAAGCTTTTGCCATTTTATAATAATTGAAAATATAAAAAGCTTTTAATAATAAAATATCGTAACAGATGGCGCTACACACGTTTTAAATGTTGCCGGGAAAGTTAAGTAACTCGTTGCTAAATTTTCTATCCGGGATTTTGTTTGCTTCCTCGAATGGAAAACCGAATTATTAACCGGGATTTATACTTTAACTGTTATTTGTTTATTAACGATATCGTTCGCTCGGTTAATACGAGAATCTTTTGCATATTTTAAACTTTAATCGAACCGTGCAAATTTTATCGCAGAGGCAATAAAATAAAGAATATTCGATATGGCAAATTCGAATGAATTTTTATTACTCGCCGTCGGTAGCTACACTGTGATCAATATACGGCCGTCGCTTGCGCTTTAACCTTCTGGCTAAGCAGTTTTCGGTTAAAATGCCGGCATTCGTGGATATTTTTATATATTACTACATTTTCCATCGATGTATCTACTGAAAAAGCTACACGGTAAGGCACAACAGAAAATTTCTAAACCTCGTGCCACGTGCTCCTGTAGCAAAGTCAAACACTTTCGCTTAACTTCATCACATCTTCGAAGTGAAATTACTGCAGAGAACTTTGATAGATCCCGTTATTTTGCTCTTTTCTGATTCAATTAAACATTAAAAATTCAAACTTAGATCTTGATCTAGCCTAAAATAAAATTCCTCTATGCTATAATCAGAATTTGGAACTTCTAACCTAAATAAACGGGAAAAGAAATATTTATTTAAATATAAGCAGCATACGATTAATAAACACGATGGAATTTTTACAACTTTGTTATAGGATGAAGCTGGTTTCATCCTCTCTTTCGTGGTTGTTCGAGTGGATCCATTAATGGGATTAAGGTTTATTTATCATTTCTACTCTGGCTTTAATCAACATAACGTTAGGAAACGAAACAGGTTTAGTACAATGAATACCATCCGAGCAACTAGTAAATCTTTAATTAAGCAACTAATACTTATACAAAAGAATAAAACGGTAAATAGGATTAACACATCTTAACGTGAATAAAAAATGTAATTTATCACGCTTAGTGGTATAAAAAGTATTGACAAAGTAAAAGTTTTTCACGCTACGTAAATAAAAATTTCCTATATTAAATGCTTAAAACACGCTGAAAAATGTGAAGAAAGTTTATAAATTTAGTAGATTAACTTAAGAGAAAAATTTCATAAATTTAAATGAGCCACGATTTCGCTTTGATAATTAATTATCGTTTAATATATGTGATGTAAGTATTTATTTTGTGCATCCTTAAGAACTTTACCTCGCATCTTCGGACAAAAAACTGAATACCACGCTTATGACAAGAGAGATAGATGATAGTTGCCCGAGGAATAAGTATTTTTTGTCATCAGTTAGATGCTTTCTACGTTCGAAAAAATATCTATTAAATATATGAAACATGCCCGCACCGTGTTAAAGAGTTAAATATATTATACAAAAAATTAATTATTTTTCCCAGTCTATTTTACTGTTAACTTGTTCTCAATTTTAAAAAATTTAAAATAGAAAAATTAGAAAAACGTGGATAATAAAAGCGGTAATTAGACGAAAAGTAAATAGCGTATAAAATCGAGAGAATTTAAATTTGTTCAGTCGAAAATTTGCTTTATTTAGAGTAATGACTAGACATTTCGAAAAATATTTACTTATATTGGTCGATTAAATCCAGGAAATTCTTAAGTAACCCATAAGAGATATCCAATCAGAGTTAATCAAACAACTCCTAGGAATTCTTATTTGTCTTTCTGTTTAATTGAGCACATCTCTTCAATGGATTTTTATCCAGATCACATCAATACAAAATTCCATATTTCCTTTCGCGTATTTCTAAAATTGGCGAGAAAATATCACCCAAAATAGGCCGCGCTGTGTAAATCCTAGCCAAAAAGGAGTAGATAACGAAACTTCGTTCTAATACACTTGCGTATAAACTTTCAATATAAAAAATATATATATAGTATTTTCTTATATAACAGTAAACGCTTTATTCTATGAATTATACAACGTATTTTCCTATAAAAGCGCTATTGTTAAACATACATCTTTCCTTAAAATTATTTTTCTTCTACAATAAATTTACATAACTAGTGAAGGATTTCCTACAGAGTATGTCTAACTATTTACTTATTTATTTATTATAGACTATGCCCGTGTACAATTTATTTCGAATATTTAATATTTATTTGGAATTTTTGGCTTTCGCTTATGTTGGCGTGTTCGTAGCGCGGCAGTTTATATATCATAATATCGAATATCATTCCAAGAAAAATAAGATCATAAATTGTAATGCTAATTGATCATTGTTATTGTAATTAATAATAGAAAGTATTAATCAATATCGACGTAGAGAATCAATAACAATTTTCAATTATCTTTTAAATACAATAAGAGAAAGGTGCCAAATCGATCATCTTCGTCGTTGAAAGTTAAATGGGCTTGCAGGTTATTATTTTTGAAATATTCATTTTAAAACCAAACTCGTGTTTTTTAAAATATTTTTACAAGGAAAAAACGAATTATTGTAAGATGTGCCTAACATTGGTAACATTTTCATCTACTCGATCAATAAACAGAATACGTGGAATGAGAACATCCATATTGGATTAACTCTTTATAACTTATACATAGATTTTGTTTTATGTTTAACGTCTTCCAATGGAAAAAATGTATTAAATATTGCTGTCTAAAAACGTACAGACATTCGACGTGCATTATTCGTCCCAATATAAACATTAACATTTACATTAGGCGTTTACATGCCTAAATTACCTTTCTATGACATTTATGTGCTTTCCTATTTGAAAATGCAACAAGAGAATTTGACGAACGTGACGGATGAAAAGTTTTGCAGAGAATCTCCATTTCTTAATGAGTAAAGTGCACGGATCCGAAAGAGAAGGCGTAAATATAATATTAATAGTAAGTTAGGATACGTGGTGAAGTGTTAAATCACAGAATTCCCTATAGTCTCTCAGTTGAAATGAAAGCGGAAACGATGTTCGAGTATTCGGTTCGGGAAGCGAATTCCGAAGGAATTTATTGAAGCAAAAGACAAAAGCATTTACTTATTAAGATGTAGAGTTATGTAGAAACATACAAATATTAAGTATAAAGCTAAAGTTAGCAGTATTTGCCGGATATAATCAGTTATTTGTTAACCACTAAAACTAGGGTTGTTACTATGATCGATGCAAAGTGATTGTATTGAGAAAAATCAATTCTGTCACAGGTTATAGTGAAGAGGGATTGGTAAAACACCGATACGAAATGCATATAAATAAAAGATCTGTGAATTAAAATTGTCTTCTGGGTGGTTCTTGACCTCTAGTGAATGTCGGATTAGAAGGACATAACAAATTTTATTTATAAACCCCCTTTTAGTGGTTGCCAAAATATACGAATCTATTGTATACTGATGATACAATACGATGCACAATATTAAAATATTGGTTACGTCTGACGTATTCCCCTTAGATACACAAGTAACACGACTAATTTTTGATAATCATCATGTCTCTTAAAATTTTTTCTTTGTTTATTTTATTGGTGAATTGGTTTAAGTTTATTGTTGTGTATTGCTCCGAATATTCTTCTAGGATATAATTTTAAGGATAATATGTAATTCTAGGATAAATAGGCTATAATTTTAAATCAAATTACAACTGCTTGGAATTTATTAGCAGAACATTGTCTAAACAATATCGGATAAGGTGTAATATTAATTTATGTTATCGTTACTCCCATTTGTACAAAGTATAGACGTGTTGTTGTTTCAGATCGTCTCTTATATTGCGCAAAAGCGATGTCTGCTTCGTAGTATTTCATACACGAAAGTACAAAATCAGTATTTTTAATTATTTAAGTGCCTTAAGAACGAAATCGTTGGCACGATAAATGCTTATCTGTAATAAATTCTTTACCGATCCCAAATATCTGAATGTTTCAAAAACGTTATTCTTATTATAGTGATGATTATTGTTATTTTTCAGAGCTGGAAAGTCAAGAGACGTCGACAGAATCGGGCGAAGCGTCGAAGAAAGAAGAAAAAGAAACGGGATCGACTTCGAAACGGGTAGTGGATCGAGAAGTTTCCAGAAACGATAAAGTGGACGTTAAACATCAAAAATCCGGAAGGCAATACTTGTGTCGATACTGCAATTACACCGCAGACAAAAAAGCAAACTTAACTCGTCATATGAGAATCCACGGCTCACCTTCTCCCACTTCCGATTGCCATATCAACGAAATACCAATTAGGACTCCCCCTATAGCTCGATACTGTTCTAACTGCGATATTCAATTTTCTTCCTATAAAACTTACCACGTGCACAAACAGTTTTACTGCAATACCAGGCACGTGCAAAAGTCTACCCCGTCTATATCTAGCCAGGGGAACGCTAGTCAGACGGAACAGAGCTCTCAGACTCCCATCAACCAATACTCCATCCAGTCGCAGGATAAAAGCAGGAGTCCTTCTCAACTTTCCAATCCTTACAACTTAGTGCTAAATCAACCGGTCTATGCAGCTATTTCCACCAACCCTTTGATACTGATTCCCTGCTCGTACGTGGCGGGAAATGGTGTCACTTCTCCGAGTGGAATCATTCCTGCTGGAAATATAATTATTCCATCCGGTTCTCCCGGACTCAATAACGACAGTGCTAACATTATACCCGCATTTACGGTCATGCCAGGAGGAGCGGATACCAAAAGATGTAGAGATTCTACAGAAACTAAACATTCGAATTCGAGACGCGATACTTCCGACGAAAAGTTATGTCCTCAAGAAGATTCTTCTCTAGGAGTACCGCAAGACGTAGATGCAACAGAAAAACCTCTCGATCTTAGTCTTCGCAAACACGATACTTCGCCGGCGGTTACGGACATTGATGATGGCGAGTGTACTAAGTCTTCTATTTCCAGTGTTCCTGAACAACAAGAGAGTAAAATCGGTGCCAGAAACTTTCAACTGTCGCCCTTGCAGTCGGCTCTCTCTACCACGCCTATAATTGTTTCTCCAGCCTTGTCCACAGGGACATTACCTCTAGCTGCACCTACAGGTGACACAGTGCCTCAGATCACATCACAAGTGCTAGTCAAACAAGGTAACAGCAAATGTAAAGAGTGCAATATCGTATTCTACAAATATGAAAACTATTTGGTGCATAAAAAACACTATTGTGCAGCCAGGCAACAAAAGCCAGTAACTAGAAGCAGCGCTTCTCCGGAACAGAAAATTAAAGACGAAACCATTTCATCTGTCTCGGATTCCGAACGGAAGGAAGAAGAAAATGGCGCTTTGAGTAATAGGATGAAACGGCCCAGATCGTCCACACCTGGAGAAACATGCGATTCAGTAACTCACTCTCCACCTCTTTCGCAACCCGTGTATCAATTCTATTGCATGGCATGCGGAATCAAGTTTACGTCTCTGGATAATTTGCAGGCGCATCAGACCTATTATTGCCCTAAACGAGAGGCGCTCAGAGGAGCACAGTCGGGATTGCCAGTGACGATGCAGAGGCAGCACGAATTCAAGTGCAGTAAATGTAAAAATTCCTACCCCACCGAAGAAGCTCTGAAAGGGCATCCCTGCATCGTGCAAAAGAAATGTCCGTATTGTGACGTGTTCTGTCCGACTCTGAGCGCCGCACAGCGTCATTTAGCCACACACACGGGCGTAAAAGCGTTCCGATGCACTATTTGCGGATATAAAGGTCACACTTTGCGAGGAATGAGGACCCACATTAGGATCCACCTAGACAAAGGGCGAAGTACACCTGAAGAAACTTTCATCGTATGTGTAGACGAAGAAGGCACGACCATCGGATCTCCATCATCTCGCAGGAATAGTACCGACAGACACGTACAGGAGAGTGCTGCAGTTGTAGATGTGCCTTGTTGCGATTCAGCATCTTCTAACCTGTCGGCCTCTGCAAGTTCGGGACTTCCCGAATATCAGGACACCAACGGGAAGAAGTGTTCGAATCAGGAAAAGAGTCCGGAACAGACTAGCGAAATTACCCACTGGTGTCAACTGTGCGGTTATTCTTCTTCTTACAAGGGCAACGTAGTCAGACACGTAAAACTAGTACACAGGGAGAGAATAACAACTCAACAAGTCCAATCAGCAGTTAACAGCCGACCTAGTGAGGCGACCGACTTCAAAAAAGCCGAATCCCCGGTCTCTTCTACCAAGGTAGAAAATGAAGTTATAGTGGAAAACGGGCTAAGTATTAACGAAGAAGTTACAGAAGCTTCTTGCAATACAGAATGCAGTAACACAAGCGTGGGATCTTCTCAAGAAAAACCGAGTGCTACAGACCAAAACACGAAAGTGGCAGGACCAAAATATTGCAAAACTTGTGACATATCTTTCAATTATTTGTCCAACTTCTTAGCGCACAAGAAGTTCTATTGCACACCGAGAACGGACGATGTCGGAAATCAAGAACCTGCACAGGTACAGTGAGAGAACGTCTTCCGTCAGACAGGAGGTAACACTACTTCGAACAAAATATCGATATTCACAAACAAAAATTAAGAAAACAAATCCCACCGCCTCCTAAAATTAAAAAAAGCGATGCATTTGCTACATACCAACGTTGTTTTTTTAAGTTTCTTTTCCTAGTCCTGTCGATGCCATTCCTAGTCTGTTGTCTAGTACCATGTAATATATACTCTAATGTACTTACGTGTTATCTATGGAAATAGATGAGAAAGATGGATATTTGAAGCATTTGTCGACCCTATGTTGGGTTTGTAGGTTGCTGAAACCTGCTTGAAGTAAAGTGTGTGTTTGTCAATTAAAAGTGTTGCTTTATTCGTATATTTTATTCCTCTTAAGTCACCGAAAGAAACCGATTTTAGTCCAGATGCACATAATAAAATCATACATCACACTACGTCAGAAAGTTCTGATGAGTTTAAGCGATTCTCCTCAACATAATGAGTTTAACAGGTTTAATTTTAGGCTATATATAACATATAATTGTCGCAAAACTATTTTAGAGCTTATTTCAGGGTAAATTTTTTAAAATATGAGAATCGATTCTTATTTTTTCTCGAGACCAATCTCCATTAAAACAGTTCCACATTAAAATATTTTGTTTGTGTTCTTACACGCATCACAGAGTACCCTCAATTCCATTGCATACGTAGTACCCGTATACGTAAGTTAGAAGACTAAAATTCTCGATGTAACAAGACAAGTAATAATACCAAATATATATTACAAAATACAGGATAATTGCCCAATCATTCAGCGAGTTCGAGTATGAAAACATCTTAATAAAGTCGCTAGTCTAAACTATTCCGACGAATATTTTAATGTGTAATTAGCGGGCGGATAGTGCCGTATTTCAATATTCATCTTCATGATTAAGTGAAGGACTTTTATACATTAATCACGGTTACTTTCCGAAAATTGAAAGGAGTAGAATTCTCACAATTCGAATTAAACCCGACAGCCATTCCCTGGATGCCGCCGCCACCGCAAAAAGGCCATCAATCATCCGCTACTTGAATGGAAGTGAATATAACACTTTCACTCTCATTCCTCCTCCTAATTTTGATTTATGTTGGCTAAAAAGATCTTGTGCACCTATTATCAAACGAGGTTAAAATTCTGTTGAATGAAACGTTTCGACCAACAGGCGGGCAAAGTTATTAATGGCAAGTTATTCTGATGCTGATATTGTTCCAGGATGTTGATTTGCATACGACTTATTGTTAACAAACGTTTTCGTACGCTCGTGTAAGATTTATTTATCTATTATTTTTCTACTGTAAATATGGCAATATTTTTTTTCAAATTTCAACATAAATTCTTATTAAACTTACCGAAATTCGTGACGCAAAAGTTACAAAAATACAAATAAGAACGTTTGACAAATCGACGAAGGAGGAAGCGGGAGTTTCTCGTTGTCACGAAAGATTATTCAAATAATTTATCAAGGCCGTAATCAATCCTTATGTTTCTCGAACTACGCCAACTACAGACGAAGTGGATAATCTCTATACGAGTAAAAAAAGCACAAACAATTAGCTCTATATTATCTTCGGGATTAGAAGTTTTTACAGCGAAATCCGATCGCTTCGGAGAACTGTTTGTCCTTCAATTTATCGACTTATTAAGTGACAGGAACCACCGCAGACGTCTTGAGTAATTGATGTCTCGGAGAAAACCTTTTGTTTGGAAGAAGACAAGTAATCTCTCGCTGAACGAAGGACGACATCGCTAATCTCTTTATCACTTTCTGATAATAGCAAAACAAAACTTGTCCACCTTAAACAATGAGAAATTAAAGATCTGAAAATAACTTCGACCCACACACGTACTGTACATATGGAGAAAAATAATTTTTATTAATATCGGATTAATTCTAAAAATGCAACAAACAAATTGAAAACTATAGACAAATGACGTCAGTATTACGTTTCAGTTACTATAATTAATATTAGAGCTATGTTACCGAAATAAAAATGGTAATTTACCAATGGCTACTTTCCCCTTTTCAATCTTAAACAGATAAAATCGTCCAATGCCGTTTTTCTTTGTTTTCTTTTTCAAAACCACAGGTGACATTTCCTGATATTTATCTGTTCTACAGTCTGAGAAGGATAGTTTATCGTAGATGACGTTTCTATTAAATGCCACATCTACTTTGTTCCTATACTTTTTCTCTCAGACATAAATTTAAAGAATTAAATCCGAACTATTTAAAATATATTCCATTTTAATATTAAACTTAACATATTTTCCTAACATCGCCCTTAAATTTTTTCTGCACACAACTTTTAATTGCTTGACCATTCTTCAATTATCTTCCTCGTCTCTTTTCTTTTTACATTAATACTTTGTCGATAAATTAGGCAATTTTTCAGTTATAAAAGCTTCAGTTTTCGAAAGAAAATGTTATAGTAGTAAATACAAATCAGGAAAGAAATATTTTCTTCAATACTGTATTTTTTTAAATACAAAATAATTACTCATAAAAACCGAAAGACAATTAATACAGCTATAAGGAAAGTAATATAAAAGATTAATCAAGATGTGGAAAATAGTAGAAAAATATAGGAAAAGAGAAGTAGAAAACAAGAGAAAAAGAGAAAACAGTAAGTATAGAAACTGGAAGAAGAAAAAACAGCAGTGCCATGACCGGAAAAGCGGAACCTCCGTACTGTACAGCAATATCCAGGAAAGTAAAACAATAGCAGAATAACAGCAGGGAAAGCAGAGAAGAACAAAGAAAACCGATAATATCTAGGAACCGGACCTGTCCACAATATTTTTTCCATCGAATTATTATTTAACCAACGACTCATTTTTTATCTAATAAACAAGAAATTGGTGGGTGAAGCGTAATAACATATCTTATTAAAAAGGTTGTTTTGTTAAAAGTGGAATGATTGACGTGCCTCGCAGCCCAATAATTTATTACCAATTCTAGTATTATCGTAAACATCTCGCGACGTGGGCTTGTTCAATCCAATTTAAATGATTATTCCTACGAAGACACGATAAGGGATAAGAATCGATGTTCCGTAACAAACAACTCGTCTTCGGTATAACAAAAATATAGCGGCTGTCGACTTTTCTCTAGTAACAAGATATCAAAATTCCGAAAATTTTCCCCGTTCGATAAGATTTTTTCGTGTAGACAGGAATCGATATCTATTAGGAACCTCTACTCTCCCGATTTCTCTAGCCCATTCAGTCACGCAAACACCTACAAATATTTGACCTTTCGGGTTCGGTGAAAAAAAGACAGCCCAATAGATGAACCTGCCGTGTCAAAAACATATAGTTTTCGATATAATGAGATATTTCGAGGGGTTTTTCCCCCTTTCGAAATCGTGCTGAATAGTATGTGTTGCGTGTAAAACGGGTACGAATGGCTTTACAAAATTAGGATATAAATATACTTACATCAAAAAATGTGAAAAATACCTTCTTCTATTCGCTTACTTAATTGTTTCTTGACATATTTTTACAAGTTTTCATACGCTTCAAAGGAAATTTGATGAAATACATCATTTTTTTTAAAATCAGTTACTTTACGAAGTAAAAACAGCTAACCTACGGATGCTTGCGATAACGATTTTTAAAGACGGATACTAAATTAATTGCGTCGTATCACTTTTTCTGATATAATAAACGTCGGAGGAAATTTTAATTTTTGCTAGAAAATCTGACATTCAATTTATTCGTGTCTATCTTTTTTTTCCTGTTACTTTGATCAGAATTTTAGACACGTTTACTAATTTCTAATACGTTAGAAGTCTGTTAATTCGGTACCCACGAGACCAGCGTGGTGCCAGATTACCGGATAATCTTGTACTTTTCCAAAGTTTCGTAATTTATATGCGATCCGAACGTTGTTGACATTTATGCGCATTTTGTATGCTTCCGATTTGTTTATTCACGCCTTTTAATCACTCCGATGATGATACAGTGCATAACTCTACTGTGTTAAGATTTATTGAAAACCTGTAGAAACGTTTAACGAAAACGTCATTGCACAAAATAAGATTTCGCAATGATTCGTGTGCAATATATTTTTCACATATGCACAGTACTGTATTGTACATACAACAAATTCCCATTGGTGGAATATTACCGTGCCAACATTATCGGACAATTGCAGATTACCGGCTACTTTTCAGCGGGTGCCGGATTAACGAGCGTCCATTTAACAGGAAAAGATATATTCTAACCAACGTAAAATTTATCTTTCTTTAAAATCATATTTTTCGATTTGTTTCTCGGAGTAAATGGCTATTTTTTCACAACTTTAACCACCGGATTTCGGTCTTCCGCCCTTCTAACTGGAGAACATCCTTTTCGCATTTATCTTCTTTAAATCCCTGAGCAATTTAATCTCTGCTAAGATCACATTATATGGAAAGATAAATTTCGTGTCCTCCACTATCGGATATTTTCAAAATTGTGTCTTTCCTTAATAGTTCGGTTCCGCTTTATTCTCTTTCCAACATTCGATTTTGATCGCGCGATTCAGACCTTCCTCGAGAGAATTTGCCTTAATCTTTACACTCACATATAAACACTTCTAAAAATAAGGAAACAAAAAGTCCACAGATCGAATCTTTAAGTGTATTTTTACGTTTAAACTGTGGCTTAGAGAAGGAAAAAAGCCTCAGTTAAACAAAGAAAGCTGCGAATTTATAAAACTTAAATTATAAAAAAAATCTTAAGAAATGAAATTAAGATATTTAATTTAACTTAAGAAAATATTCGCTTAAGAAAAGAGCAGAGAAGGTTTTCTTATATAATTACTCAATTATTCCATTCCGTTATTGATTTGCAGGAAATTTCTTCTTCTGCATATTTAATTACTTTATTTGAAAGGATTAATTTTGTTTGCATTAAATTACGATTAATTTCGTATTCCCTACAGATAGGTTAATTCTCTATCGTTTCAATCGTCCCTCGCATTCTTTATTATTATTTAAGTTTCAGATAGAAGGGAAAAAATACTCTCCTCTTTAGAAAGGCCGTAATTTTCTTCAAATTATTTTCTGTGGATAAAATAGAAATTACAGTCATAAAATGATACAAAAATTTTGAGAAAAATTAAGATATATATAATCTTGTTTAAGAAAGAATAGTTCATATAAAAACTATAATTAACCTAAGTGTCTGCAATGTACGACTACGAAATAACTATAACTATCGTCTACAATAAAATTATTAATTCGCGAATTTTAAACTGTAATTATAATTTTTTTTTATTCTTCTCACTGTAAAGATATGGAAGAAGAAGAAAGAAATTATCAATAAATATAGGTTTACAGGAGAATACTTTATACGAAACGAAGACAGTGTTTATATCAAAGTTCCTTTCCGAATCAACTTGTATTCTACTTACTTGTTAGTTGTCTGCAGGTTTTACAAACTTTTGACTTTATCAAAGTGTAATGATAATGTAAAACTCTGCACCATATTCAACTTCTGCGAACTATTATTAAGCGCTCCATAATTATTCGATCGATAAACTGATAACCCCTTCTTGCCTTTCATTCGCTATGAATACAGCAGATTCCTAACAGAGCAATTATTTATTTCGACTAAAGAAAATAAATACTATCGAAAATCGACCGAGAAAAAGTTATCCGATATTTTCTGCATAATCGATAACGTATACTTGTTTATTTTCGGAATTTACCATTTTAATCGCAGTTGCTATTAATTTCCTTAATTTATAGAAATTTTGCCTTCGGAACTCCATCGATATTACAGTTTAACACTTAATACTTTTAATTACATTAAAACAACCATGAGATCGAGAAACTTGCCTGGTGAACAGTAATCATGCCCTCCTGGAAACACGTGATTATCTGCATCAGCGGTCAACTGCTAGTGTTTTACACTATTTTCCTTTGATTCTTCCGCTATATCATCTTAATTTTTTCTGGGAACAAGAAATAATTTTCTAGTTTTTATGAAGGAAAATTGTTTGATTTTCCGTTTGCCAAGTGTTAAAAAAAATACCACTAGAGTTATATCTAAACTTATAATGAAATTACATTTGTCCACCGACACCAAAACGATCCCTAGCAATTTATCGACCTCTCTCTCCTCGGGGAAGTCGTTTCAAAATGTTTTTAAAGAATTTCATAATTTA